CTTTTTGTTGTTTGTTTTCTAAATGTCAAAAATGTTCTGCTGTTGAATTTAAGCTATCGTTCTCAGTCTGTCATGAAGCCATATCTATTGCGTTTTGGTGTCTGTCAGGTATTTTCATTTGTGTGACTCTTTTTTTTTTAATTTTGTAATACTGTAAATATGTTTTACCACCTCGATTCATTCGGTCGTGTCAGGAATACGTTTATTTTGCACTCACATGGAGATGAAGTAAATTGTACATAAGTTATAGGACTGCATTGTCAGTTTATAGCAAATAGCTTTCAGCTTAAGATCGCCTACCATCGGCCTCGTCTGCGATGTGACAAATGTGACAAATTTGAAAGCAGCTCTTGCACTCCAAAACAGGTCATCTTGTATATCTTGTAAGATTAGTATATAGCAGGCGTGTGTGGCGCGCTCCCAGCAGAGCCAAACTGAGCCTTGTTGTTCATTTACGTTAAATTTTGGGGTTTTTGTGTGTTTTTGTTTTAAGGATGAAAAACAAAGGGAGGAAATGACGGTGATTCAGGGGGGTCGGGGTGAGTGAGGATGGGCTGAGGGAACACCAAATGGCCTTTTTAGTTTAATCCGTTGCCTAAAAAGGTTCAAAGAATGCACTTGCATTGTGAGACTCTTCGCAGCAAACGGTTCAGTGAGGGCTCACAACACCCCTGACAGGAACCTGGATCTGCCCGAACCTAACAGCTGTTTAGTCTTAAAGAAGTCTGGGTTGAAAGAACAGCAGCAGGAGGAGAATGAAGCAGGCCTGCTTGTAACCACGACAATGTGAATGTGTGTCTGATCAGTTGTGGAATAAATTGGAAGTCATTACGCTACTTTGTGAAACGTGTCCTTTGTTTTGTTTTTGTAAATGTAACGCGGAGGGATTTAAATGCACAGAGTAACAAATAACACGGTTTACCCAAGTCGGTGCAGACAGCAGGCGGGGCTCTGATGACGATGACGATGATGCAACCTCACAATCAGATCAGACTCAGGTGTCAAAAAGAAAAAAGAGCCGACGGCCTCGTTAAATACGTGGCACATGTGAACCGTTTCTATGCTATTCGGTGTGCCGACAACCAGAAATAGGCTGCTCGATAATATTTCCTCCACTTCTGTGAGATCTTCTCTCACATCTCGTATTTGTGGCCACAAAAACCACGAGCTTCTAATGCTAAGCGGAAGCTGGGGGAGAGAAAAACCGACGCGCTGCAAGCTTCATTCTTGCAGCGTTAGCAGTTTGTCATAGATGCGATTACTAAAAATCAACCTGCAGCACAGGACGGCTCGCTTTTTCAGAGGCCGATCTCTTGGTTTGGATTCTGTAGTTCGCAGACGTTGTTTCTTATTTCCTCTGATGCTTTTCTGCTTTTCGCATCATGAAGCAGCTTCTGTCAAGGTGCAAGCACGGAGCCGAAGAGCCTTACCGCACGCGGCTCAGGAGGCTGCGTTGCCATGGTAAACAAAACTGAACGGCAGAGCATCTCCAAGGCGACAGCTGCGAGTTTATTCAATTACTTCATAAACAAGTGAGGGACTTTGTATAATGTTTAGGAATGGCTGTAATTCCTAAACATTTAAAACAAAATGTATGAAAAAAATAAAGCTGAAAGTCTGCGCTTCACGTTGACTTGTAAAAAGGAAAGAGTAAAAAAAAAAAAGGACCCAACTCTGTTTCTTCCGTTTCACTGAAAATCCTGAACATTTATATTATAAGTGAACCGTGATCCAGCTCCATTATTTGTCTTATCTGACAATGTAAATGTACTGAACAGTAGTAACGAACACATGCGCACCTTCATATTTAGTTTCGCAGCTGTGACACTTTACAGGATTGGCCACAGTAGTGCTGAATTATCATAAATAACAGGATTTTTACCGTCTGATTGTCAGAAGAATGCAAACTGCGCTCATGCGTCTCATCAGCTGGATAAAAAGGAGGTCATCTGCACAGTATCTTTACCACGTGGTCACTGTTAGCTATCGTGGGTCCAAATTGAATTGTGATACTAAAACTTTTACAATATCACAAATATTCGATTCTTTTTTATTCTAAAGGATAAAATCACTGTTTTCCATTAATTTAACAAAAAATTACATTTTTAAACCAGCACACAAAGTAGGGGCTGCACCAGAGACCTCACGGTTCTGCTCACAGCACAGACTGTTGTGTTGCCCGAACCATTAACATCGTCTCCGTTCACTGAACCGGCACGAACGAGGTCAAGAGCGTGAAAGCGAAGCTGCTAAACGGCGTCCAGCCATCTTTATTTCATCTGCACCTGTGCTGTCCCTGCTGCGACAGGCCAAAAGGTCCACGCAGCCTCCCGGGTTATTGATCAGCCTCCGCCAATAACTGTCCCTCCCTACAGCCGCATTTCCTCAATAGATGGTCAATGCATCACGACCATTATGAGCTGCTTGTCCTTTTAACCCTGCGGCCTGCGATGACCGTCACGTGAACTTTCCTCGAACCCTTGCGGCGGGTCACGTAGCGGTCAAGGATCGGACACACGGGGAGGGGGGGGGACAACAGTACTTAATGACTTTATTAATAATATGATTTCAACATAAAAATAACATTAAAATAACATGTTTCGTCCTCGTTAACAACTTGCACCATACGGCCACATGGTGGCGTTGTAATGCCAAGTTTGTTTGTTTTCCTTTTTTGTTTTTTCAAAAATACCAAATTGTTCTTCAGCCATCCAGTTCATTTGTTCTTCCCGCCATTCGTCGCTTCGTACATGGATTCAGACGCCGCCCTCCCCCCTCCCTCGCCCCGCCCCTTTAAAAGAAAAATAATCAAACCCTTTATAAATACAGGCAACCCTGTCCCCTTGTCACAGACACATTATGACAACCACTGACACAGGAAACACCCCGTCTGCACATGCCCCTCCCTCCCGCCCCGCCCATCTCCACACATTATCAATGAACCATTTTCTCTGTTTTTTTTTTTGTTTGTTTTTTTGCTTTTTCCTCATCCTCTAAAGATCCACACAGTAGATAATCTACCTTTGCTGTATTAAACACATATTATATATAATATAGACTCAGCTGAAATGCTCCACTCTCACAGCCCTGTGCACAGAGTTGCAAAGGGAAAGGACAGCTGGGGGGG